TGCACTAAAGGAAGACTCATCCAGGTATGCGACCCACTTAAACAATCTCTATGCTGTGTGTAGTTCCATTCTTCCTCTGCTCCCAAAGGGATCTCTTCTCTCAGAGACAGTAGCTGTGAATGGCAATGGAGCTGCTTAAGCTGGGGAAACAATTGCAATATTACATATGATTCTATCTTGAAAAGAATGGCACTATGCATCATTGTTTGTTGAAAGTTATGCCCTAAATGTTTCAGAGTTTACAAAGAGTCTCCTTTTGCTTTGTAAAAGAGGAAACCTAAGTATATGACTTCCCGCCAAACAAACATGCTAAGCACAAAATGGCAAAACTACATCAGTAATACAAGTGATTTATTTGTAGTTTCACTTGAAATTTAAAAAGGACATATTTCTACTTGTAAGCATCCCTGTCAATCCTAGTATCAGATAACTGAATTTACCTTGACTGGAACTCCACTCTGTTGCCGTAAATTGCAATCCTTTTCTTTAATATCCTTTTCCCAATTTTCTAATTCTTTCACAAAATCTTGCAACTCTTCTGCATTTTGTCTTATTTGCATCTGTAACTCTATTGCTTTATTTGGTGAAGTCATCTGGTAATTAAAAGGTTTTGGGAAATGTCAGGCTACTAACAAACATTTGCAGATACTAGATGAAGGAAAGAAAAGAATAGAGAAAAGTATTGATGTCCTTAAGTACTGAAACAAGCAACGTCTTCTGATGATACTATAAATTTAGTGGGGCAAACCAGGCTACTATCATTCTAAAAGCCCCTTAATAAAAAAATAATGAAACTAGACTGAATTATACAGAGCCACAGCAAATTAGACCATTAAACATATGCCAGTCCACTAACATGCAAAGTTGGGGGGTGTCTTATTTTCACAATAAAACCATCATGTGGCAGAGATGTACTAAACCCACCCCTCTATTGCATTGCACCTTGAGTACTCCACGCACTTTTCTTCTTTCCTAAGCTACAAATGGTGAAAACTGCCAGAAGTCCCTTAAAATACTAACACCAATGACTTTTCAGTGCCAATTAAAAACCCACCTATGCTACCAAGCCTTTATTTCAGGGAGGGGGAAGTCAACCATCTGGCCAGATTTTGATCCATAATTATTGCTGCTCTTGCTGTGACTTTATTGTCCCGATTATTATTATTATTACAATCACCACCATCATTTGTATACTGCCCTATAGTATACCCTATATCCACAGGTCCCATTTGTTTACTTTTTTTGCTCATAGTTGTTTTGGCCAGAGTTTATAGTGATGTATCATTTCAATGAAGGGTGAGGCAGAAATGTTTCAATAAATAAATAAATGACAAAATGAATCATTGCACGGTGGCAAGGAGCTGCTCTCTCTGCAGATGCTCACCTGGTGCCGTTGCTATGTATCTTTAGGTCCCAGCCAAAAACACAGATTTTAAAGCAGGCAACTTTAGCTTTTAACGGCCTTTATGGCCTTTTGGAGTGGGCAGGAAGTTTTAATGTATACACCCCCTGGCTTTAATGCATGCATGGTTTTCTTTTTGGGTGAGCTCCTCTGGCAAAACAGTGCCCAACAAGTAAATTAAATAGTGCCCTTGGACCAAACTTTTCTTTTACTTTCTTTTTTCAAACTGCAGAGGTCAGGCCACCCCTCCTGCTGTATACAGGAATAGAGACACGTGTTCAGAGACACGTGTTCAGCACCACGTAACAGTTCGGTCTTCAGCAACAGCGCTAGGCCCCCAGGGACAGGCTTGGAGGCGATGTTCCCCTCACTAAATTCACGGCGAAGTTCGTTATAACGATACGACAGCTACGCGTAAGACGATGGGAGTCTGACAGAAACCTCCCTGGGAAATTACCTCCGAGTCAAACCGAACAGTGAACGTGAGAATGGCGCAATCTTGTTTGTTGTGTCCGCCCCCCCCCCGGTTTCAAGGGGCCTCTCGAAGGCCCCGGCCCTCAGACTGCCACAGGGGAGCCTTCCCCGGGCCAGAGACCCCGCCACCCTCCGGCCCCGAGACTCCCTCCCTCAGGCAGCCGCCCCACCTGTCAATCGACGGCACCCGCAGCCTCCTCACCTGCGCGGTGTTTGGTCCCGCCTTGTCGCGCTCCCCAGCCGTCACTCCGCGGGCCGAGCGCCGCGCTCCTTTCCCAGAATCCCGCGCGCGACAGAGCAACTCCCCTTGCGGAAAGAAGGTATTTCTGTGGTAACCATAGAAAGGACCCTCGGCCTTATCTGGCGCCTGCGCAGTTTAGTTTGCCTGCTGCCTCTAGTGCCATGGATACCGTCTGATTCCCCTCCCCTCTTCATTTCCGCCTTCCCGCCCTCTCCTCGCTCCGTTCGGTGATTGGTTCAAAAGAAGCAGCCGGAGGCTGTTCTCTCTTTCCTTCTCCACATCTCGTTGGTACCAAAGAGGCGGGGCGGAGCGACCTCGAGAGGCTTTTCCCTATCACTACGGTGAGTGACCTACGGTGGCCGGCGAGGCCTCCCGAGCCATGCTGTTTCCGACGCGCCTGAATGGCTGAAGGAGGCTCCTCCGAGATGCCTCCTCCGGAGCAGCCGCAGGATCCGGAGAGCCGCGGCTCCGGCGGAGAGCGGGACGACGACTTCGGGTACGGCCTGTTTCCCGAGAGGAGCCGCGGAGGCGGGAAAAAGCAGCAGTCCATGCTCTATAAGGCCGTCTTCACCAGGAACCACAAGTGCCAGGTGATGCTGCAGATCGCCCTGGAAAGCAGTAAGTGCCTGGAGGCCGCGTCCCCCCTCTGGCCGCGCCGTGACGAGCGAGCCACTTGCCCTCCGCTCCCAAGGGACCTGCGGCTCCATCCCAACCATCTCTCTCTCTCTCTGCCTCTCTCCTAAACACCCATCAGTTACTTGCACCCATGCTGTTGTGGACCGTAGGCGAGGCTCTTACCGAAAATTTAGGGGCCTCTACAGGGCAGCCAAGGGCGCTGTGGGTTAAACCACAGAGCCTAGGACTTGCTGATTAGAAGTTCGGCGGTTCGAATCCCCATGACGGGGTGAGCTCCCGTTGCTCTGTCCCTGCTCCTGCCAACCTAGCAGTTCGAAAGCATGTCAAAGTGCAAGTAGATCAATAGGTACCGCTCCGGCGGGAAGGCAAACGGCGTTTCCGTGCGCTGCTCTGGTTCGCCAGAAGCGGCTTAGTCATGCTGGCCACATGACCAAGAAGCTCCCTCAGCCAGTAAAGCAAGATGAGCGCCGCAACCCCAGGGTCGGCCACGACTAGACCTAACGGTCAGGGGTCCCTTTACCTTTACCGGGCAGCCAAAGCAGTTTCCATGCCCAAACTGGGCCTAAACCCCAATTGAAATGGATCTAGAAAATCAGTTTCTTGCAGGGGTGTCTGGAACTGGCCCGTGACCACACGCTCATGAATCTTGCCCAAGAAGGGGAGATTGCCAATCCACATTCAGATCATGGATGAGAGAGGTCTTACTCTGAGCTGACCTGGCACTCGGCAACAGCAGCCGCAAACCTAAGAGCTGGCTGATAGAACAACCACAATTCCCCAGATTTGCCCCTGTCTCTTTCCCAAGAGAGGTCTGTGCAAGCCTATCCATGCCTATTCAGCCCTAGGGAATGCAGGGGGGCTTACTTCCAGGTAAGCGGGGTTAGGTTGGCAGCCTAAGTGCGGCATCGGACCCTGTTTTGTTACCAGGGCAGACACCTTCCATGTCATAAGTAGTAGCAAAAAGACCATTGCCGCCTTCCAGCTTGTTCTTTTCAAGAAGTCCAGAAACTGGTTTGCAGTAATAAACAGCCTATTAAAGGTAAAGGTAAAGGTACCCTTGCCCGTACGGGCCAGTCTTGACAGACTCTAGGGTTGTGCACCCATCTCACTCTAGAGGCCGGGGGCCAGCACTGTCCGGAGACACTTCCGGGTCACGTGGCCAGCGTGACAAAGCTGCATCTGGCGAGCCAGTACAGCACACGGAAACGCCGTTTACCTTCCCGCCAGTAAGCGGTCCCTATTTATCTACTTGCACCAGGGGGTGCTTTCGAACTGCTAGGTTGGCAGGCGCTGGGACCGAGCATCGGGAGCGCACCCCGCCGCGGGGATTCGAACCACCGACCTTTCGATCGGCAAGCCCTAGGTACTGAGGCTTTTACCCACAGCGCCACCCGCGTCCCTAAACAGCCTATTACCCTGTTTATTACTGTAAACCAATAGTGTGTGTGTGTGTGTGTGTGTGTGTGTACACACACACATACAGTCGTACCTTGGTTCTCGAACAAAATCCATTCCAGAAGTCCATTCGACTTCCAAAAATGTCTGAAAATCAAGGAGCTTCCTGCACTCAGTCAGAAGCAGCATCAGACATGTGGGTTCCAAAGAACAGTCGCAAACTGGAATACTCACTTCCGGGTTTGTGATGTTCTGAAGCCAAAATGTACGAGTACCAAGGCATTCGACAACCATGGTACAAGTAAGTGTGTGTATGTGTGCGCGCACGCGCATCTAAATCTATCTATCATCTATCTATCTATCATTCTTTACTGGAAAATACAAAAGTACAAGTGCACAGAGTAAGACACAAAAAAGAAGAAACAAGAAATAGAATCCATGTAGAAAACAAAGCAGATAAATATATATTGTGTGCATTACAAAAAAAGGAGGGAGGGAACCTTTTCATTGCAGTTAACTAGACCTTAATCTAATACGGTATTTTTTAAAAAAATAAAATTATTCCAAATACCGTCAAATTTGTCCATGGCAAGTCTACGTTTGTATACAGCTTGTTCATGTGCAGCGAGTTTGTTCATATCTTCAATCCAGTCGTTAAAGGGAGCCACATTGTCCCCCCCGCCCCCCAGTTCACCAATAACAGTCTTTTTGCTGTAGGGTGCAGAAAGTCCATTCGTATTGTCTGTTTCCCATTGCCCTTATTCTAAAGCTTTTGACATGCACCCAGCTGTAGTTCTGATCTTACAAAGCTGGGCACCCACATGGTCCGCACTGAAGGCCTGAAAGGGCCACATGTGGGCTACAGGCTGCCCTTTGTGGTCTAAAGCATGTGACCAGTAGCTCATTTTGTCTGCCCAAGTTTTGTGCTTAAGAATAAATGACTGCATTGCTTGGTCTAGGTCCATATGCTAAACTGCTACTTGATGCTATGAAGAATACTGGCTGGTAAGAATTTTTTTTGACCCAAGCTTATTGCATGTTTACTGCATTTGTGTTCCTACTTGAAGGTGACTTTAATACTAAAAAGCTGACCTGTATTTGGGCCTTTTAGCACTGTTTTCAAAGATCGACACTTCTCATGTGAAGAGTGTGATGGGTGTGTCAGTGGAGGATTCGATTCTTCAACATCACAGGTAGGTACGGAGCAATCTGTTGCAGCATTGGAAACATCAGATAACTTGATGCTTTGACATGTTAGCAAAACAAAATAGTTGCAGAAAGTTATGAGATGTTTATTGTTGAACATTTTGAGTTCATAGTTCTCGGAATCAATGCTTACTCCCCTCTCCCCCATAGTATTATAGTAATTTAATAAAATGATTGCACAAGCCAGAAGGATTCAGTTCAAGTGGAGTATTTAATTAAATAGTATTTAATCAGTCAGGCCTCTTCTTAATTGGAAATACAAATCCACAGGCCCACTCACTGCTCCCAGAGAAGTTATTCCTGTTTGAGTGGAAGGGCTTCTTTTGTTCTAGGCAGCAGACTCACCTGGTAAACTACAGGCCTTCTACAAAAAGGGAAGACTGTTGCCCCACAGCTGGGACTTAATCTTGACAGCTGATTAGTGGCTTGAACGGGCTCAAAATGCATTTGTGTGGGCTCATAATGAGTCTTCAAATGCACGAAGCAGGAGTGAGCAGTGAGCCCCTGGGAAGGTGCACTGTCAGTGAAAGCACACCTTCAAAGGGGTTGCTGATAAGCACTGATAGCGAGCCCTCTTGGCTGCATGGGAAAGTTCTTGTTGGGGAACTCTGGAGTCCATCTGGTGCTTGCTGTTAGTGCTGGTCATGTAATCAATGTTTTCAGTGACTTCCCACCTGC